ATCAGTAAAGTTAAGCATTGTTCAACAATAATATTTGAAAGTAGAGGGAAAAATATGTATAACCAGCTGCAACCTTGATTCTTATGACTTTGCTATCGGGAGATAAACGGCAATCCTTGAAAATCCATAATAAAAGTATTTTCTTCCGTTGATAATTATTTAGCATTAGTTAAAAATGAAATTATTTTGTAAAATACCTTTGAAATTAAAATAAGACATTAAATGTGTATGCCACCTGGCCGTTCCAAGTTACTCCGCCTATAGAATAAAAAGGTTTAAATAACAAAATTTTGAAAGACAGCAAAAAGATCACATTTCTACAATGATGAAGTAGCTGACAGTTTTACTGAACGTAGTCAGATAATTGTTCGTTCAAAGTGTGTTATTTGTTGTGATATAATTGGTTTGGTTTTCATAATATAATTAATATTTGCTCAAAGTCAAATTAGACATTTGTCCCTCGTCCTGATCTACATATATACTTTTTATTAAATTTACTTTAATGCATCTAATGTTACTTGAAACTTTTCAAAAAGCAGGTCAAAGAAGAAATACTTAATTCATTTTCTATCTCTCCTCACAGAAATTTGAATTTTTTTATAAGCTAATCAGTAGTATTATTTACAATTATACACAAAATCCAGAATCCAAAAAGAATCTGAAAACTTGAAACGTAATCAATAAGTCAAAAGACCAAAAAAGACTTGGATTGGATTATGCCATGTTTTTTATAGAAAGTGTATAAAACTTCCAGTTTGATTGTATTAACAAAATATAGACAAACTAATGGGGTTTATTGTTTTTATAATACCTCATTGTATATAGCATTCAAGCAACATATCGTTATACACTTAAAGTATTAATTTTTTGATTCTCTAGAAATTGTTTACAAAATACCTTACTCAGCAAAACGTTTACCGGGTCAGCTAGTTTTATATATGAAGGATGCACAACATGAATTTGTAAATAATATATGGCTTATGAATATTAAAGTATCGTAGAACCTGTAAAAACAAAATTAGTTGTTAAATATATTACTGAAATATTGGAAAGTACTACATGAGGATTTCGACATTTTACTTTGTAACTGGTGCATAATTTTATAAATCCAATTAGTCTAATCACTCAATAGTTAATTAATCTCATAAATTAGATGATTTAGGGCTGATTTATTAACAAATTAAATATATAATTGTGTATTTTGGAAGCACATGTGTTTTAGTCAAAATACTCAAAGTCGAACTGTCAAACATGAACGCTTTTGCACTAGAACTCTTAATTATTCGTCATATTTTTATTTTGTTTAGGATTTTATACGCACTTCATTAATCTAAGCACATTAGGATTAATTAATTGCACAAATAAGTTAAAATTAATTAGTTTTTTAGTATATAATTACGTATTTCTTAATTACATCGTTAAACCGTGTTTTTACACAACTGTCAACTTGAAGCAACTGTTTAAGATGGCGGCTTGAACAACCAAGAGCGCAAAATTCAAAAATGTAAAAATAAATAATATATATTACAGTAGAATCCGATTAGTATGACGCCGGATATATTGACAACCGCTTATTATGACGTAATTTTAAAGGCAGTTTGGTTTCCATATAAAATTTCTTAAAAAAACAGCTGTCTAGTCGGATATGTTGACCTCGCTTACATTGACATTTCGCTTATAATGACCCATTTTTGAAAAAAAATTTGGTCCAAGTATAATGACCGACATGATTTTACACCTCCGATAACATAGAGTTTATGTTTTTCATTGCACATTGTTATGGTATGGCACCACTACCACTGTGAACTACCCTTGTGTGTCAGGTCGCTACATACCTACCCACATACCCACAGGTCTCTATGTTGCACGAGATTCGCGCTATGGAAACTTTGGCAACTTCCGGCATGGACGACCTCGTGCAAAAAATAAGTAGGCTCATTCTTGGTGTTCAAAATTTGGAAGCGATAACATCTGCTATAATTTACTGAATTAGTAAAGTTCTATATTTTTTACTATTTTTACCCAGTAATTAAAACTCAAACAAAAATTACAGATTTTTTACATTAAAAAATGCATTGTTATGTCATATTTTTAATTAAATTTGTCAATTTGTTAGTATGTGTCATTTTTTACCTTAATTTTTGTATTAAATTACTGAAATTAATAACATATTTGCCAAAAATTGTTTTTTTTTTTTTCAGTACGCTTAGTATGACGACCGCTTAATATGACGATTTTTCGCCGTCCCTTGAATGTCATACTAAGCGGATTCTACTGTATATATAAAATATATAACATATATTATATATAAAATATATAATATATATTATATATTTTATATATAATATATATTATAAATAAAATATATAATGTATATTATATCTATATATATAAAAGAGGAACGCCTTATGTGCTACCACTTATAACTCACGAACGGCTGGACCGATTTAGATGAAAATTGGCAGGGAGGTAGTTTAGAGCCAGGAGAAGGACATAGTATACTTTTTATCCCTTTATTTCATTCTAATTCAAAATTAATTATTTTTAAACTATCCATTTAGTTTATTGAATCTATGATTCTATTAATGATTTTATCCATGACATTTACTTTCAATTGTCAACTGTCATTCGGTGTTTCTGTTTTGATACAAATATATTAATATGCTTTTTTTAATCACTACTTTTGGAAAATTATTACGTGAATAATATAAATTTTTTAATCACCACGGAAAATTATTACGAAGTGGCAAGTAAATTAATTCTTAATAATAGCAAGCGATTCCAGATGGACGATGGGGAAATTTATATCTTGAAAATGAGAATGTAATTATTTATGTAGTTAGGTATTTATGTATATTTGTTTATACGTATTTAAATAGAGTATTTGAGGTGTTTATATTATATATCAGCAATAAGTATAATCATCAACAAATTAATAAAAAAATATTCTGAAATATAGTTTCTTGACATAACCTCAAAATTTGTAATAAAAATGTAAATAGTTATACATTAATTGTTGTTAATTTGTAATTTCTTTATACATATCTTATAAAATGTTTCAGGTGTTTACAACTAATTGGCATATATATATTATCAGCAAATGTGCTTTGATTCGACAATAAAAAGGTCTAATTGAAGTAATCGACTACCTTAAGTAAACTATAGTGATAGAATATTAGTTTTTGGTTCTCATATATTATAACCCAGCTATAAACCTCACGGAGCCCCAAACCTTTCCAGCGAATGCAAAATTGTCGAATTCGGTTTGTGCATTCTGGAGTTATATCGTCAGAACTTATAACTCAAGAAGGCTGAACCGATTTAACTGAAAATTGGCTTTGGTAAAGTTGGTAAAAGTTGGTTCAGAGCCAGGAGAAGGACATAGGATACCTTTTATCCTGTTCGACTTGGAATAACAATAAGCAAATGACAGCTATGTAATCACGCATGGATGACAATTCAATATTTGTAAGGAATTAATAATAAAATTATTTATTTTAAATAAATAATTAACAATTATAATATAATGATAGTGCCATTGCCCATTCGTATAAACAGTGAAGCGAACTATGTATAACTCAGTATGGTTGACAAATCATATTTTTCTCAAACACAATGCTCTGAAAGAACTTATTTGTATAATTATGTACTCATTGGTATTTATAAAACCTTTTCTAGATTATTCAGATTTAGAACCTAAATTTGGAATTGATCAAAGGAACATTTTGTCGAATAGCTTATTTCCAGTTATAATTTTCTGAATTTATTCAAGAATGGATAGTAATATATGAAGATCCACGACCGAAGTGTCAAAAACCAGTAAAGCTAAGCATTGTTTAACAGCAGTATTTGAATGTAAAGGGAAAAATATGTATAATCAGCTATAACCTTGATTCTTATGACTTTGGTATTGGGAGATAAATGGTAATCTTTGAAAATCCATAGTAAAAGTATTTTCTTCCATTGGTAGTTTTCTAGCAATTAGTTGAAAATGTAATTATTTTGTAAAATACCTTTGAAATTAAAATATGACATTAGACCTGCTTGCCATCTGGCCGTTCCAAGTTACCCCGTTATAGGGTAAAAAGGTCTAGATACATTTTTTTTTAAAGACAGCAAAAAAGCACGTTTTTACAATGATGAAGTAGCTGTTAGTTTTACTGAACGTAGTCAGATAATTGTTCATTTGAAATGTGTCATTTGTTGTGATGTAATTGGTTTGATTTTCATAATAAAATTTATATTTGCTTAAAGTCAAATTGGACCTTTGTGCCTTGCCCTGTTCTACATATATACTTTTTATTAAATTTACTTTTATTCATCGAATATTACTAGAAACTTTTCAAAAAGCAGGTCAAAAAAGAGATACCTAAATCATTTTGTATCTCTCCTCGCAGAAATTTGAGAAATTTGTATAAGCTCAATAGTATTATTTACAATTATACACAAAATCCAGAATTCAAAAAAAAATTCAAAAAATTTGAAACGCATTCATTAATCGATTAAATGGAATTTGTAATGACTATATAAGTCGAAAGACCAACAAAGACTTGGATTGAATTATGCCATGTTTTCTATAGAAAGTGTATAAAACTTTCAGTTTGGTTGTATTAATAAAATATATACAAACTAATGGGGTTTATTGTTTCTATAATACCTCATTGTATATAGCAATTCAAACAACACATCCTTACACAAAAAGTATTAATTTTTTAGATACTCTAGAAATTATTTATAAAATAACTTACTTAGCAAAACAACGTTTGCCGGGTCAGCTAGTATAATATATATTATATATAAAATATATAATATATATTATATATAAAATATATAATATACATTATATATAAAATATATAATATATATCATGTATAAAATATATAATATAAATTATATATAAAATATATGATATATATTATATATAAAATATATAATATTTTTAAAAGTATAACAGCAATCAATATTACTATTTTTTTTTATTAAACAAAAATCAAGTTCCATAATATTTGATATATTTAATATTGTCATATCTGTAAATTTTTATGATCTTTCTTCGGCTCTAGCTTTCATTCTTGTTATAAAAGCGGCTCCTTTGTGCTTTCTGAAGTTTTCATAAGGATCGTTCAGGTTTACACCGACACCCTTGTATAAATCTTGCCTGAAAGAAAAATGAAGTGAAATAAATATAACATAATTTTATAAAAACAAATTATTAACTATAACAAACATAATACAACAAAATATAACAAAAATAATACAACTTCTTATAGAAATTAAATTGCAAATATTGTCAGGCGAATGGAAATCTTCTCTGAACGACTTTAAAATATGATAGTTAACAAATTATGTTGAAACTGTATATGTATATACATTCAGTTATCGTTGAATGATATAGATCAGAGCTTCTTAAACTTTGGGGTCGCGTAGAAAAATTCTGGACAATTTCTGGATAATTTTATAACATCACGTCTAAGTTTTTGTATGTTTTATAACATCACTTCTAAGTTTTTGTATGTTTTACAACAAATTCTAAAACTACATATTTTCATATGTATCTCTATATGTATTTTGTTACCAAATAAATAAATCATCTAAAAATATTAATTAACTTTCCGTACCTTAAGTTATTGTAATCACAAAAAAATCGGAAATATTTTTTTGAAGTAAATCTTCTTTAGGTAAATCCGAACAAATGCAAGGGAAGTGTGTTACGGCAGATAAGATAAGATAAGTGTCGAGTGCCAAATATTCGTCATACACTCTCAATGATAACATTTCTCTACGGGTCGATTGTGATTAGTCGTCGCCTATGTGAATAGAGATCAGTCGTTGTATGCGTACCAATATCAACAAGGAAATCGGCATAGATAAATAAACATTTTAAAGTCATATCGTAGTACAAATCTTGATTTAATGAAAAATGCCTGAATCAGAACAATATTTTACCCTGTCCCCCGTAAATAATTATTAAGAATATAATAAAATAAATGCAGCATTTGCGCCGTGTATGAAACATAAATTTATTGAAATAATTTCTATATTATTTGTAGTTTCTATAAATGTTTGAAGTTATTGAAATTGAAAACATTTTTTAGGCAAAACAGATATCACAGCTGTTCAAAGAATGAGATTATATCGCCAGCGAAAAAGTAAAAAAAATACAAGCTGTCAATGAATGTATGTTAATTTTAAAATACATGAAGTTCTTCAAATACAATTATTACATGATGAGTGAAATTGTGAACACAATATTTCTTTCGACGTTGTTTAACATAATCCACTGTGCGAACGAATATTATAGAATTTATTAATCAGCAATAACTTTAATTCTCTAATAAAGGTTCATTTCTAAATGCTAATTACAATGACAAACTTTTTAATGCTATTATGAATATATAAGTTATGATCTATCATTATATAAATGTGTATAATGGTTGACACTAATAAATGTATGCATCACGAGTGTTACCATATTACTAATAAACATTATTCAAAACTGTTAAATGATGTATTTGTTTTTAACTTAAATGCCATCTTGTACAGTAGCAAATAAGTTTTAAGCGCACTCTTTTTTTTATATATCTTTACGTTTCAAAGGTTTCTGAATGTTTTGGCATAGCTTAGAAAAATGGATGTATGTGTGTGTGTGTGCGGATACAAATTTTCGTCGATGATTTTGCGAACACGGGTCAACCGATTTGAATAATTTAAAAAACATTCAATTCATATTGATAAGAAAACGTGCTGATTAGTTTTTGGCAAAGGCAGGTCGAGCCGTTTCGAAGATACGAAGCAAAACGTGCCAAAAATGGTAAATGATTTTTTGAGAGAACGGAGCGTCCGATTTGTATAATTGAAAAACATTTTATTTGTATTGACGAGATGAAGAACTGATGAGATTTTTGGGGAGGCAGGTCTAGCGGTTTCGGAGATTCAATAAAAAAAATGTAACAAAAAATTTGGCGGTCAAAAATGATCATTAGACAATGCACATCAAATTATGACAAAAATAAGAACAAAGTTTGTTTACTTTTCTATCGGTTCAGTACCAATGTCCATCTGTTAAACTGTGATGCGGCGCCCACGCGCTTCTATATTTCGTTTCTATGCAGCTAACTAATTGCGAATGCTTTGAAAAACAGTTCAAAATTTCCAAAATATTTCAAATAAAAAAAAATAAAAAAATCAGAAAGATCAAGTTTGTTTCAAAAATTTTAAAAATCCCAAATATTGATTTTTTTTCAAAGTTCTAAGAAAAAATTGAAACTTCTTTAAAAATTGTAATGTTTAGTACGGGAAGTTCCAACAATTTGTCTTAAGGTAGGATGCCATGCACTACTATTTTATTTTTTTTATGAATGTGGAGTCGTCGAAAAAATTGAATGTTTTTTAAAAATTAATTTTTGGTACGAAAAGTTCCAGCAATTTGTCTTAAGGTATGATGCCATGCACCAATAGTTTATTTTTTTATATATGTGGAGTCGTCAAAAACTTGCAATCATAAATGAAATCGCGAAAGACACAAGTTTAAGAAACCCTGATATAGATAATAAAATGCACAAAGAATGTATTCAATATAAAATCTAATCAAAAAATAATTACCTGTCTCGTACTTGTCCTCCTGAAATGGGTGCTTCAATACCTTGTCCAGAAGTACCTATTAAATTATTCAAACACATTTTAATATCAATTATAATTGGATAAGAATAAAAAAAAAGAATAATATATAGTCCAGCCATTATAGTAAGTTCACCTCGAAATTCGAGATACCCAACTGTAAGTCTATAAATACTTGTATATTGACATTTAAAAGTTGTCTCAAAACCTACATATGGTAGGGTAATAATTAATAGTCCAGTCATTATAGTAAGTTCACCTCGGAATTTGAGATACAATACTTGTATATCGACACCCTTAAAGTTGTCTCAAAGCCTACATATAGTAGGTTAATAATTAATAGTTCAGTCATTATAGTAAGTTCACCTCGGACTTTGAGATACAATACTTGTATATCGACACCCTTAAAGTTGTCTCAAAACCTACATATAGTAGGGTAATAATTAATAGTCCAGTCATAGTAAGTTTACCTCGAAATTCGAGATACCCAACTGTAAGTCTGTAAATACTTGTATATTGGCATTTAAAAGTTGTCTCAAAACCTACATATGGTAGGGTGTATGTACCATATGTAGGTTTTAAGACAACATATAAATGTCAATATACAAGTATTTACAGACTTAGAGCTGGGTATCTCGAATTCCGAGATTCTTACCTAATTTAAGCTTAAATGACTGGAATATTATCAATTATAACCCAGTAAACACCGTGTGATTTGAGCGGCGGTAGCAACCTGAAAACCACTAGCTTGCCGTCAGCGATGTGACATGCATGTGGAATCTATGTGGATATCAGGTGTTTACTGGGAAGGCTAGTAAGCCTTAAACTAAATAAGGTTTTTGTATAAAAAATGATCTCAAAGTAAAAACATAATTAAATACATTAGTGATTTAAACATTACTAAATAATAAATACCTTCTTCATTACTATTATTATTTATTATTATTACCTAATCCAGTGCCTCCCCATCCCATACGCTTCAGCATTTGGTGTCCCTTGTTGGATTCATCGATTTGCTCGGTTGTGGACTTTGCAAACATGTTTCTAAAATTAACAAACATGATAAGATTCAATAATTATTGTACTGCACCCATTACCATTACTAATTCTAATTTTCGGTCCACTTAATTATTTTCTATTTAATTTTGTATTCGATCAATATGGTCTTGTTACATTCTTCTTGTGATTCTATCTAATGGTAAAAATGATCGAAAAAAGGTACTGGAATGAAGTGAAATTTGAAAATTTTGTAAAAATGGGTCTGGGCGTGTTTCCATACAGAATTGGCCCCACCCTGGTATTTAAATGATTTTGATGCCATTTTATAGGTATTTTCGAGAAAATTCGAAATACCAAATTTCAAATCCGCAGCTCATCATTTGGCTGAGATATCAGTGAAAACATGTGAAAGTGGCCCCTTTTTTCAAACTCACTTTTTGTCGGAAATATGAGAGATATCGAAAAAATGTTAACGTCATTCTATTTATACTGATCTTGTCTATGTTGTTCATAACAAATAATGTGAAAAAATTATTTGTTAGTGCGTGAAAAGGTGAAAATAATTTTTCATTTTCCATTTTCTACCTGTGCGGATCTTTGGACTATTTTTATATTAGCATAATTCGAAAGCCTGTACATTTTTCTTCTGTTGTGGAAAAATTCATTTAAATGTAAGTGGAACTTTGAGTGAAAAGTTGGAAAAACTTAAGCTAGCACACGCGCTGCCGGTACAAGAACATCCCATATAAAGTCGCTTTGCAAGGGCGACGAGCAAGCATAAGGCTCGTCGTTATCGCGCGTGTCGGCAAATTCTGTATATAAGTATGGAAATATTTATTAAAAACCAAAATTTATTTATATCTTGTATATAAGTATATTCAAGATATTCATTTTATATCTTGTATATAAGTATATATAAAATCCAACGCGGCGAATAAAACAATAATTATTATTATTGATTATTTTCATTCGCCGTATAAGCATGTGACTAATATATTTTAATGTATGAAAAACTTAAGATTTCAATATTTTTCATATATTTACGTCGGCAATAAAAAGTATTTTAATTTTAATTCATTACCTTTTTTGATTTTTTGCAATGTTATTATATTTTATATAGTTATCATTAAATAAAAAATCGATAAAAATATATGTCAGAATACATTTCATAGCTATTCAATTTCATACATTGAAATATATTAGTCAGAAGCTTATACGGCGAATGAAAATAATCAATAATAATAATTATTGTTTTATCCGGCACGTTGGATTTTTTATTATGACTAATAAATATACTTATATACAAGATATAAATAAATTTTGGTTTTTAATAAATATTTCTATTAAAATTTGCTCGTCGCTCTTGCAAAGCGACTTTATATGGGCGTTCTTGTACCGGCAGCGCGTGTACTAGCTTAAGTTTTTCCAAATTTTCACCCAAAGTTTCACTTACATTTAAATAATTTTTTTAATAACAGAAGAAAAATGTACAGGCTTTCGAATGATGCTAATATAAAAGTAGTCTAAAGAGCCGCACTGGTAGAAAATGGAAAATGAAAAATCATTTTCACCTTTTCACGCACTAACAAATAATTTTTTCATATTATTTGTTATGAACAACATAGACAAGATCAGTACAAATAGAATGACGTTAACGTTTAATTAATGACGTTTTTCGATATCTCTCATATTTCCGACAAAAAGTGAGTTTGAAAAAAGGGGCCACTTTCACATGTTTTCACTGATATCTCGGCCAAATGATGAGCTACGGATTTGAAATTTGGTATTTCGAATTTTCTCGAAAATATCTATAAAATGGCATCAAAATCATTTAAATACCAGGGTGGGGCCAATTCTGTATAGAAACACGCCCATACCCTTTAGGTAAAAAAATTGAACAATTTAAGAGCAATTCAAGAGAGATGATAACAAACAAAATAGTATGATATTAAAAATGAATTTGAAATAACATGCAGTAAATAAATAAATTTTATAATTATGATAAAATGACTAGGAACATTTTTTATATAATTTTACACATGCAATTATTTCAATAAAATTTTCCTTGACATCTCCGTAGACATCCATCGACTTGTGTACGACGATTTACATCTACATTAAAAAACTAAAAACAACAAAACCAATTATTTAAACATAAACATGCACTTGACAATAAATTGTCTACTCACAAGCCAAAGCTGGGTGGTGTGATCTCTCTATCATCCCTTCGAGGACTATCATGTCTCGGACCATACCTTCCTCTTCTGTCCCTGCTGTCCCTGTCCCTATCCCTGTCTCTACCTCTACTGCTGGAACTGTCCCGATTGTTCCTAAATTTGTTATTTGAAGTGTTGAGTGCTCTAGGAGGTGACAGACTTGGAGAGCGAGATCTTGATCGAGATTTGGATTTCGACCGTGATCTGGATGGAGACTTCGAACTAAAGTATAAAACAAGTTTATGAGTTGCAAGAAAAGAAATAAAATACTATCTATCATTTACCAGTATCGTTTCTTTGGTACAACTTGATCTTCAGCAAATTCTCTCAGGATAGGACTGATGGATCCACTTCGTACTCTTTCATTTACATTATTGTTAGTCGAGGCAGTGTTTGTAGATCCTTTATCTTGTAATGGATTTGGTTGTTCGTTGTTTGATTCGTTGGTGACCATCGTGGTCTTGTCTTTACGTGCCGAGTTCTTGGCTTTGTAGTACTCGTAAAGTGCTAGTTTTTCCCAACCCTCGCTGGAAATAATAAAAATAAAAAATAAGGACGACACATTTTGTAAATATAATATACAGATCTACAAATTTCCTTCAGATATATTTTATATTTTATATAATTTATGTATTACAATATAAGAAATATACAGGTGGAATATGCATTTGCCTTAATAGTGCAGTAAACGGAGCGTTTTAGGTCTGAATTTTTTTACTGTGCTCCGAATTTCATGAAATTTTGGAATTAGGTTCATCTTACCCCCAAATTCAAAAGTGAAAACAATTCGGGTTGCGCCATCACCCCCCGGGGGGATGACCCCCCTTCTCAATTGTGTAATTACATTTTTTTAAAATAACGTCGGAAATCGATAGAAGAGCTAATTATAATAAAAAAATGTCTTCTATAGTTTATCAAAAAAACTAATACTTTTCAAGTTACTGTCCACTAAAGATTCATATATTTTTGGCGTTTTTCTTCGTCTTTTTGCAAATATCTCCTAAATTATACATTTTAACGAAATTCATGTAATGAACAAAATAATGTCAATAAAAATCCTAATAAATCGGTATTACATAAAGTGTTCTAGGAAAAATACTAAGCAAGAATTGAAAGAGCAAAATCGTTTTTTATTTCGTTCAAGATTTAATTGTTGTATTTAAAGCAATCTAGTGTCGAGGTTTTACATTTTATGCATTTCGGTGAAATTGAGTTTTATAGTGCTCAACATAAGCTTTAAAATGAGTGCTGTTACAAGTTTTTTGCGTGTAAAATGAGTGAGCTATTATGCAAATAAGAAGGCATATACGAAGTTTTTTTCTTTTAAATCATATGGTTTAATGAGCGCCATTTCCACCAGAATGAAAGTAATTCACATTCCATCTAGAATTCACTTCATTATAGACATCTTGATGGATTCTAGTAGATTCACTACTTTAGTACAAACTATTTTCAGAAAACTCACGATTTTATAAAAACTTTTTTTTCCAATTTGCGCGGTCGCGCAGTCTTCAACATTCATAACTCTGTCAATTTTTGTGTGAAGAAAAATAATAAAAAACAATAATAAGCCAGAAAGATTCCTTTGATTTTTATCTATAAGCTTTTATACGTATCTTTTATTCTTTTTGAGATATAATGAAAATAATTTCGATTTTTAAAAAAAATGAAAAAAAAGTTTTTATAAAATCGTGAGTATTCTGAAAATAGTTTGTACTAAAGTAGTGAATCTACTAGAATCCATCAAGTAGTCTATAATGAAGTGAATTCTTATAGAATTTTTATAGAGATTTTAACAATAAGTATAAATTTTGTTTATATTCCTATGTGTTCCGTACCAATGTTCATCCGTTAGACGTCGACGCGTTGCTTACGCGCTTCGATATTTCGTCTCTATGCAGTTAGAGCAGTACGATAGCTTTGAAAAAAGTTCAGAATTTCCAAAATATTTCAAAATAAATTTTTCTTCAAAAAGTCTTTTTTTTTTTAAAAAAAAAGTAATTTTTTGTAAAAAATTTATAGTTTCTCAAAAATCTAATTTTTTCAGAGTAATTTTTTTTCAGAAATGTTAATCTTTAAAAAAAAAAAAATGGTAAAGGAAGTTCCAGCAATTTACCTGGCACGATGCCATGCGCCTCGCTAGTTTTCTGTCTAATCAATAAACATTGAAAATTATCTTTATCTTTATTTATATATGACTGTTACCATATTACTAATAAACATTATTCAAAATTATTATATGATGTTTTTATTTTTACTTAACTTAACATTGCTACTTTGTACAGTAGCAAATAAGTTTTACTTCAATCGCGTGTGATCCTTTTCCTACGCGGACTCTTTTTTTTTAACATTTAACTAGGAAGCAACGTCTCGACCGATCTTTACCAAAAACTAACCAGCAAATATAATATCTTTCGAATGGATTTTAAATATTCAAAATCGGTTGACGATATTTTGCAAAAACGTAGACAAAAAATTTTGCACTTTTGTTCTAATTATTACTAATTATAAAGAAGCGACTTAGCTGATCGTCGGACAAAACTAATCATCGCGAGTCCATTTTGGTATGTGGCATGATCGAAACCTTAGAAGAATGGCAGTGTCAAAATTGGATTACCAAATTTCGTTCTGGTGATTTTCAAATTTGACTTAAAGACTAAAAACGCCCTAATAATCTGGTTGAAGTTCATGATGACCTAACAAGTCACAGTATAACAACGTGAGATCGGAGAGAAGCTTCATGTATCATCTAAAATGATTTGGCTATGATGAATGAGTTTCTCGCAAACTGCAAGAAACGCAATTAACGCTATTTTGTAAAGAAACATAATGAAAATCCTCTGCGTTTAACTGGCGATTCACCTGGTAAACCAGGTGTACCAGCTGAAACAACACCAAAAACTGAGAGACATCAGAAGGCGATTTTGTTATCCGTTTGGTAGAATTACAAGAAAATTTTCTTATTAATTCTGATGGTGAACCAGCTCAAACTACACAAAAAACTGATAGACATCAGAAGACAATTTTGTTATCAGTTTGGTAAAATTACAATAAAATTTTCTGATTAATTCTGATGGTAAACCAGGTGAACCAGCTCAAACAACACTAAAAGCAGATAGAAATCAGAAGACAATTTTCATATCAGTTTGGTAGAATTACAATAAAATTTCCTGATTAATTCTGATGGTAAACCAGGTAAACCAGCTCAAACAACACTAAAAGCTGATAGATACCAGAAGACGATTTTGTTATGAGTTTGGTAGAATTACAAAAAAAATTCCTGATTATTTCTGATGGTAAACCAGATAAACCAACTCAAACAACACTAAAAGCTGATAGACATCAGAAGACGGTTTTGTTAGCTGTTTGGTAGAATTACAAAAAAAAATCCTGATTAATTATGATGGTGCATCAGGTGAACCGGCTCAAACAACACAAAAAGCTGATAGAAATCCGAAGACGATTTTGTTATCAGTTTGGTAGAATTACAATGAAGTTTCCTGATTATTTCTATGTCTACATTGAAAAGTTGTTGTATTACATCTATATTTCAACATTGACAACGCATGGTCACACATCTTTGACCACTCAAGCAAAGTTATTGGAGCTGGTTGGGATATTTTACCACATCCACCATGCAGTCCGAATGGTTTGATTGCTTTTAGTTTTAATCTTTACAAAACTCCTTGATTGGTAAAAAATTCACCAGCGATGATGGTATCAAATTGTGGATGTTGAATAAATGAATAAATAAATAAATAAATAAATTATTACTGCCAAATCAATTGTTTTCAATTTCCAATTCTTTGCCATTCTAAATTTATAAAAAATCATTAATATCCAAAGCACGAAATCAGCAAATATAAAGTGATTTCTATCAAGACGATGTACGAGTGCAAAGGGTTGTTCATCAAATTAACTAACTACAATTGAGACTCACCTGTCTCTCGGACAATCATGACTGTAAGGCATGTAGAAGGCTTCAACAGCTTGCAGTAATCGTTCATTCGGAGGGACTGGAGGTGGTAGTCTGATATCAGCTGGGTCCAATGGTTTGAACTCGTTGTCTTCCAACTGAAAGGATAAAGGATAATCTATAACATGCTTTGATGAATAAATAAATCTTTATTTATTGTACTTTATTTATTGTTAGTTACTTGTAAGGTACCTTCAAATTGATGGAAAAGTCTAAAAATGTCGGAATAAGGAAAAACAATGATAATCTTAAAATCTTATTATGGGTGGAGCGACTAGGGCGGATGCTGAGCACGCCATTATGGTGTGAAAAACATGGGAAAAGGGTAGGCAAAAACTATGGAAGGAGATAGTAAGGCAAAAAATCTCCCTCCCAACCAATTTAATAACAATATTGCCAAAGTAAAGAATATATAGTATCTATATATAATTATATACAATCAAATAAGCATAAAGACTTATAAAATCTATATGACTAATGAATGTGTATACAAAGTCAACAAATAAACAATAAGAAAAAAATCTTATTATTTTTACAATTGTTACTGTTTTTACCTTTATCAGTGGTACCATCAGTCCTGCAGGTAAATCAAAGTATGGAATTGTAGGTGTCAAGTCCTCCATTGTGTCCATAGGTCCCATCATACCTGGACCTAAATAAGATCAACAATTATACACATATAAATAACAACAACAAAATATTACAACATGCTATATAAAGTATTAACTATTTATTTTAATGATCCCACAACCATTTATTACCATGCATATTATTAAAAGCCATATCCATACCGATATTCGGTGGCACAAGAGGAAAACCTGGTGGTGGTTTTGATAAATCAGGCAACAATCCACCGATACCAGGCGGCATGATTGCTGGACTGGCTACCATTGGTCCGTTCTTGTTTGGTCCAGGCTGAGGAGTTCCAGGCTGGTTCTGTATTAGTGGCGGAGGCGGGAGAGAGAACAGTTCGGTATTAAAGGCGGAGGCTGTTGTAGAGGAGGTGGTGGTAGGTTGTTCGCTGAAAGGAAAAATTGGAGAATTAATTTGATATGAAATCTAGCATAGATAGAATAATCTGCTATCAGATAAAATTATATGTCTATTACAATTATATGTCTATTTCTATTACCTTGTGGATTGAGTTCATTAGGATTAGCAACCTTCAACTGCATAAGCGGTTGTATCCCTCCTCCCTGGGCATTCGGTCTCTGATCCCTCGGCATCATCATTCCCTTATGCATCATACCACCCTGATCCCTCGACATGTGATCCATCTGCCGCTGCTGCATGTACTCCATCTCTCTCTCCTGTTCCATCATCATCAACTCCCGCTCTCTCTCCATGTCCCTGGCCATCTGTTCTCTCTCTCGTTGCAAACATCTCTCGCTCCCTCATGTCTCTATCTCTCATATCTCTATCCCTCATATCTCTATCTCTCATATCCCTATCTCGCATGTCTCTGTCTCTCTGCATAAGTTCCCTATCTCGGTCTCTCTCTCTCTGCATGAGCTGTTCGCGTTCTCTGTCGCGCATTATTTGCTGTTCGCGTTGCTCTCTTTCTCTTTGCATCATTAGCTGCTCTCTCTGTTGCTGCTCCCGCTGCTGCTGCTCTCGTTGGAGATCTACAATTTGGGTGTCTATGTTCTGGATTTGTTGCATTGCATGGCCGACGAATGACTGATGCTGCTGCTGATAACTAGATAGAAGACATAAATAAATTATATAGTAATTTATCATATATATTAAATTTTTGGGTTAATTAATTAATTATTATATATCAAATGGTTGGTGCTGCTGCTGATAACTAGGTAATAGACAAATATAATATATAGTAATTATCATATATAATAAATTCTTGATTAATTAATTAATTTTTATTTATCCCTTACCCTTGGAAGGCCTGCCTGGTGTGCTGCGTGTATGGTGTAAGTTGTGCAGCATGCTGCTGCAAAAGCCCAGCCTGATATTCTCGAAGAGACAGTTCTGGTTTTTTCAATTTTTCAATTAATGTGCTGTCAAAGTAATTTGCTTTTGCTTCCCACAGACGTAACAGTTTGTCTAATTTTGCTTGCTGCTCTTCTGTGATATCAGCTAAAAAGGAAAAAAATATAGATATATATTTAAATATGTAATGAGCAAAATTAATTAATAATTATATCAATATACTTACCCATGCTATGAGCATTGCAATACATTGGCACAACAACATTTTCCAAACATTTCTTTAGTTCTTCAGCATTTTTTCTGGCACTGAAAATAAATAATATTTTGAATTTTAATAAATTCATCATCATTAATTAATTAAATTTATAGCTATTAAACCTATAGAATTTTTTTTCAATATTATAACAGCTATCCATTATTATATTTCTATTATCTTACCAGTGATGAAGAACATCGTTAACCAAATATATAATGTGCAGTTTCTGAGCAAAATTTGCATCGGGCTGAATTACTCTGAAACAACCACAATAAAAAATTAGTACATTATTAACAACATATTAATATTTGAATATAATTTAAGGACTCACTTTTCTAAAAGATACTGTGATATAGCTGCTGCATGAGCATTAGTCGTTGCATTTTGTAATATCCAACTCTTCCTGAAAAAAGAAACAGAAAAATATTAATGACAAAAAAAAATTTAATTAATTCATGGATTAATTGTTAACTATTTCATAACATTAACA